GGTCAGCTGGCCGGCCACCCCGAAGTCCGCCAGCTTCACCTGGCCGTGCTCCGACAGCAGCACGTTGGCAGCTGGAGGGAACACACAGCATTATTATACATTATTTCATTAAGGCTTCTTTACATACACATATATTTAGTTCCACACTTGCTTTGGAATCAACGGCTATTACCCATTAGTGCGAATAGAGATGAGAAAATGACTCATATCAACACACCACCGTACACATGTTATATACTGTAGGTCACATGTATCAAACTCGTGGCCCGGGGGCCAAATCAGGCCCGTTGTGGATTTAATTTCGGCCCGCAGGATAATTTCTAATTCCTAATAGATCTGGCCCGCCGGTATATTGCACCTTCACTCCATCCTGAGGGTCTCCTCAGCTCAGAGCCTGAGCCCAAACATTGATGAGCTTGCACCCAAGATGAGATGCCAAGTATCTGAGCTAGCATCACAGAGCAGCACACTGAGTTTAATGGATGTTTCCTTCTGCACTTTCTCTCATGACAACAGGGCATGTTTGGTTTCTCTTTGAGGGGAATAGTTTTGTTGAAGCTGTTGTTGGCCTGTGGGAAAATGTACTCATAAGAAATGAATGCAACTGATTATTTAATGTTTAATGTTGTTTTTATAGGTAATAATTGAAGCTTTGTTAGTTCCAGGTTTAATATGTGCAATAAGTTCATTTCAATAAGTTCTGCAATAAACATTGAACCAGTCCGGCCCTCGACTAGTACCCATTTTTTTTATTTTGGCCCACTGTGTATTTGAGTTTGACCCCCCAGCTGTAAGTATAATGTACACATTTGACTATAATTTTCTAAGGATTTAATATATATTTGTATTTTTTTTTTGGATAATCTTATTAAGTATTTGTATTTGATTTTCTTAAATTCTATAAATGAAGTATTCGGATTGTGGTTTTTCCCGATATTTGACTTTTTTTAAAATGCAATTAAAGCGTCATTAACAATGATTCTGCCTGCCAGGAGTTCCTTGTGTGGTGTAAACACACAACACTAAGAAACACAAAGGTGAAGTCATTCTAACTTTCTCTCGTCACGGCCATCTTTTAAATCCACCAGCAGGAGGTGCAAACGTCCGGCTAAAAACAAGCATTACCTAATATGTGGCATGCCTCATTTGTTTAGCTAAGATAAGACATGAAGAATAGTTTGGTTTTTAAAAAACATCTGCAGATGAATTCCATATCTGATCCAGAGGAATAAGCCGTGGAACAAGAGGAACACATCCCTTTATTTAACGTGGCTTTTATTGCATCGCAAACACCACGTGTGTGTCGTTGGTGTCGATAAAGGTTCATGTTATCTTAATTAATCCGTTGTTTTTTTTAAATGTGCATCATGGAAGTATCCACATTTGATCCAAGTGCATAAACATGAATCCCTGCAGTGCTTGTGTTACAGGTGAAAGTACCCTTGATGTCTCGGTGGATCTTTTTCTCTGAGTGCAGGTAGTCGAGGCCCTTCAGGATCTCCTTCAGCATGGTGGCGATCTGAGCCTCGTCAAACGGACCTGCACGGAGCTACACACACACACACACACACACACACACGTTAAAGTGATGACACAGATTTAAAACATACCGGAGGATGATCGTAGGAGACACACCCCGTTCAGTTTCATTCAAGACGAGACTCAACACGAAACTATGCAACCAAACACTCCATATCTCCACTTTTAACGCATATCAACAACTTTATTGTTATTTGTATTGTTTTTAAATACAGCAGCTGCTTCAAGGACGCACCATGTGTTCAGCTTACACTACAGTCCACATATTTCATGAGGTTATTATTCATTCGAATGGGAAATATGATGTATTAAAAGCCCCGATGCATACAGGTGGATAACCACATTGTTCTGTAACCTTAACCGAGTAAATTCATTAATAGCTGATTCATGGATTTGCGATAACCACCTCAACAATTTGAAGTCCAGTTTCTTTGTTTAAATGTACTTTACGGACACACGTGAATTATCATGATTTAAAAAGCCCCAATAATGAGGTAGCAGACTAATACCTACGCTACAGGAATGTCAGGTGTGTTTTTACTTTCTTTCTTTCTGATAAAAATATAACAAGAAACGAGTTTAACACTCACCAAATCCAGCGCCGATCCTCCGCCCAGATACTCCATGATGATCCATAGTTTACTGCCCTGCAGGAGGAAGACGTTCATTACTAAACCGACAGCAAATGCAATATGAGAGCAATTACTCAAAGTGTGCAGATGTACAACTCCACACTACAAAAACTCAACATCTCGCCCAGTATGTGTTTCTGATATCTAGTCAGAATATGTCTCTACTCCTGATATGAGACACAATAAGTTCAGAAGTGACACTGCAGTGAGATATCGGGTCTTGTTTTTAGACAATGCATCATCTTGTTAAGTTAAAAAAATCGTATTTTGAGTTGTATCTCAGATGAAACACATATTTTTTACATATTTATTAGAGAATCACCAACTAACGTCAGAACACAGAACACCTTTGAGCATTTGCGGCTTATATGGTAACACAGCATTTCCTGATTCTGGTCAAATACAGTCCAAAATGAGTTCTCCCAGATAATTACAAGATCTGATTTATCTAAATATCCCTTCTTATTTCAAGACATCTAACCAAGCACATTTTCACTTCTATTGTTCACTGAAAACAGCTTGTTTTCATTATTGTTTAACTTGTTTGTGGAGCAGCATTTTTCCAGTGTAGTTGTTTAGACATTGGCTGGATAGTGGAGATGTTAGATAGTAATGTAGCAGACTCATTTCACGGTTTACTTCACAAAGAATTGATTTGCACCTCAGTTGCAACCGCTAAAAGGTCATGCGCTAATGAATGATATTAAAGTGCAAACTAATCGCAATCAATGTGGCAAATCAAANCGGCGCCAGTGAGCAGTTGGGGGTTAGGTGCTTTGCTAAAGGGCACTTCGGCAGTGGCCCAGGAGGTGAACTGGCCCCCTCTCCAGTATCAGTCCACACTCCGTATTTGTTGTTCCGATCGGGGACGTGAACCGGCGACCATTCGGTCCAAAGTCCAATCCCCTACAGACTGAACCACTCCCGCCCTTACAGGAGGTGTGTGGCGCAGTGGGTTGTGCGTAGGTGTTTGCCGGTTTAAACTCCCACTGCAGTCAGCATGTCGTTGTGTCCCTGAGACACTTCACCCCATAATGGCTCCTGTGTGGATTGTCCACAGTATTGAGTGTGGAAGTCGCTTTGGATAAAAGCGTGACATGTTACGTCAAAAAATCTTATTTTGAGTTGTATCTCAGATGAAACACATCTTTTTTTACATATTTATGAGAAAATCACCAACTAACATCAGAACACAGAACACCTTTGAGCATTTGCGGCTTATATTTTAACAGCATTTCCTGATTCTGGTCAAATAGAGTTCAAAATGAGTTCTCTGAGCTAATCACAAGGTCTGATTTATCTAAATAGCTTCTTATTCCATGACATCTAACCCAGCTAATGTTCACTTGTTCTATTGGCAGATTTTTGTACTTATTTCAAGTGAAGACAGCTTGTTTTCATTATCGTTCAACTTGATGTTGGAGCAGCATTTTTTTCCAGAGTAAATACACATCCTTGAGAATATATGCACTTTGATTTTATGCCAACAAATTCAAGATAAAGACATTTTCCAGTCAAACTTCCTCAAAATAAATATGTCCTCTTAGAATAGTGTCAAAAGAACTATCATTTCACAGGAAGACTAGAACAGACCGCTGTCATGGACTTATTGAGCGTTGCTAAGGACGCTCACATCTGCAGAAAGAAGTCCGGTCGATTGAACTGTATACAGTTTGCTTTTCAAACTGTTTGCTTGTCTTTAGTTTCCCGTTGTCCGTCTGAGAGCAACATGGAGGATTTTAATATTCATTTTAATATATTTGGAGAGCACAGTCATTTGGATGAATGGTCAGTGGCTGATGAGCCCCCAGCGAAGAAAAGAAAAAGACAAGAGGGACAAGGAAACAGCGGAGAAGTAACGGGCAGAAACCCTCAACACGGAGCTCCGGTCCTTTTAGACAGACATCAAACGGCCACACATATTCAGTGTGCAGTTCCTTTGGCATTAGGGCAGGGATATCTAGACACTTTCCAAGGTTTGACATAATGAGTTGTGCTACTTTTAAAGCAAGCAACGATGTTTTCAAATCTGTAATCAGCGCCGCAAAACCGCTATCGAAGCAGTTCCTGCTACGTAGTTCAAACGGTAACCACGGACTATTTTTCTTAGCGGATGCATGTCAATTTAAATCAATACAAACAACTATTTTTTAAATCAATAATACTATTTTTTAAATCCATAAAAGCATTTCCTTTAATATTGGGAGTCATGTCGTTACTTTGTTGAGAATGTGGCCGTGTGATAAGCGGATCAGCCTGTCGGGTGTTCTTTAACCCATGATGACCGCCTCGCTGCACATTATCCCGTACGTAGGCTCTGAATGTCTTTCAGTTTCAAAGCACTTTGAAATGCCTCGTGTTGAAAAGTGCTGCCTCTTCCTCTTTTCCGCCATAATAAATCGATCCTTTTCAGACATTTAAAAGATAACAAACCTGTTGTTTCACCTTCAGATTAAGAAACCTTACCTTCAGATATGACCCGTAGTACTTGGTGATGAAGGGGCTGTCGCACTGGCTGAGCACGGTGATTTCCTGCTGGATGTCTTCGATCTCGTCCTCCGCCTCTTCCAGATCGATCGTTTTGATCGCCACCACGCTCTGAGTTCGATTATCGATGCCTTTAAACACCTGCGGGACGAGGAGCGATGCATGAAGGGTAAAAAAAAAGATGCAAGAACAAACAAAACATGATGTGGAAGACAGAAGATAAGAGTAACAATATGTAAGAAGGGATTTCGGTAAATGCATTGATAACGATTAATCATGTTGTATTATTGGATTGAACGTAAATATGACACACGCACCTCTCCGAACGACCCCTTCCCGATGCGGTCCAGCTTAGTGAACAACTCCTCCGGGTCAATCTGAGAGCTCTGATTGGAGGAAGAGGAGGAACAAGGAGAGGAGAGACAAGATAGTGGTTTATAGTTGTTTATATCAACAAAATACTTTCAAAATGGGCATAAAACTGTTCAAATCTACGCTCACAGCATGTAGTGAGGTGTCGGGATTCGGGAAACAGTCAAAGTCGTAGGTGATGTCTTTTGCTTCCAGTTTGAATCAAAAATAAATTCAATTTAATTGAAATTAATACAGAAAAAAGCAGGAAATCCAAACTTATTTCTCTACCATCAAATCAACCAATTGGAGCATTTTCCGCGCTAGTTTTAGTCCACACCTCAACACTAACGCTATATAATAATTAGTAGTTTATTCATTTGACTACAAGTTGTTCTTCAAATATATGTACAGAAAGCTGCGTTTATCTTCAAATCTATGCTTTCAGGTACTGTTTTTATCCCAAGGAGAAATGGCAGATTTTCAAGACTTCCAAAATAAAACGCAGTGTGTCTTGAGCAACTCTGAAGTCGTTTGCAGCAGCTTTGTCTCCGTCATACGCTCATTTGCATATTTACGAGGTCATTGCACATCATTTGCATACAGCTTGGTGACGGCTGGGGAGGAGAGAGAGACTTCGTAAAGAACAGCCAGAGCTGGGGATTAATTACAAATATATATATTTGAGGATTCGTTTTACTTGATGGTGGTAATGCCTGGCAAAATGTGTAAGAATAATACCATTTGGAAACTCCAGGGGGGGGAGATTGCCACATGTAATGTCAGTTTAACTTTGTTTTACTTTAAATATAAACATATATCAAGAAGTTAGGTTACAATATATGTTTAATATTATTTATTTAACATATATATCGGTACAAATGTCAAGTATTTCCCATGCAAAACACAAACAAGGATAATACAAGTTTCTGTCACTTTCTCACACACCCACAAAAACACAGAAGGAAGCAAGCATGACAGTTAAAGATAACAGGAAACACACACACACACACACACACACACACACACACACACACACACACACACACACACACACACACACACACACACACACACACACACACACACACACACACCTTATCTCTAA